ACTTCTATCTTTCTAGAGGTATGTCAAATATTTTGAGCGTGTTTTAACCTACTTCAATGGAGAAAATCCTCCTGGCCGCAGGTATTATTCTTTCCATATGACTCTAATATCCTTCCTAGTTCTCAATTACTAGTATTCCCTTACAGTTATCATGTTCACTTTAAATTTTCTGCAGTTGTGTACTTAGAGGGTTTCGTCTCCACAGATGTCCATATTGGATCAGGCCTTCCATTACTGTATCTGACCATAATGGTATATCTCCTAATTCTCTGTTCAGCCAAGGAGTTCTATTCCGATTATTAATATATGGTGTAATGCTTGTCCTCAACTTTGTTTTCTTTTCTCTTTTTTGCGATCGTTGTCACTTTTATGTTTTTTTTATGATTTTAAGTCATCTTTAAGCGTAGCTTGCAACAATGACCGGGCTTTAGAACATCTGAGTACTGATACTGCTAATAGTTTTCTCTAATTATTTCCCTAATTGGCAGGTGTTCTGTTCTCCACTAAAACACATCAAAGAACCAAGAATCTGTCGGTATGTATTTGATTATTTTATATAGTAGGGGGAACTTTGAATAACCTCCAGTTATGAATCTAGTTCATGATTATTGATATTATCGGTCAAAGATTTTCTAGGTCTGTCTAGCATCCAAGTTCTATATTTCGAAATTGAGATATTCATAGAATTCCTACAACTTCTTGCTTGGAACAATATTTTAAACAGACGTATAGCTTGAGGCAAATCTGAAACCTGTACTTCTAGGCTTTTGCTTCATTTTTGTTCATAAGAGGTTCACTCTCCATGAGAGTAGAGCACTGAGACTTGGAGTTTGTGCCTCGTGTTGTAAAATAACAAACGTCATTTTATTGTACATTCTTGTTTTCTTAGAAATAAAAGACTGCTAATCTATTTTATAGTAGTGTAATGGTGTTACAGTAGGTTAGCCTAACATTAGAAAAACATTGAAGACTACGATCAAAGAATAAGACCACTTATTAGTGATCCTCGTAATGAAGATGATGAAAATGGCAGTTAATAATATCTAATAGTTTCACTAACGTAGTTTCTATCTTTAGCCAGAAGATTTTTGGTTTACTGCTCCAAAAAAGGGGATAATGGTATTCGCCTTACCCGGGGAGCCTGGTCTAGCTGAGTTGTGCGGGGACTTCAAGGTTCATTTCCATGATCGCCAAGGAGATTTCTATTGGTATATGATCTGAAACCTAATCCAATGCTCTGCTTCTTTGGTTTCATTTAGTGGTGTGCAAGGAAATCAGTTGATTTTACCTGGTCCGTTTTATTTTCAGTTGGCTAAACACAACCATGACCGAAAATCGGAAAATGCTCTACACTAATGATCTTGATGGGTTCGACAAGGTGAGTTCCGAAGATTATGTTTTCTCATGTAATATGATGATCAAGTGGAACTCTATGCATTTAGAACCTTCTGTTTTCTTCTCCATTTCCGAACCTTCTTCCAATGTTACACTTCTTAGGAGTCGTTACTTGTTTAACATTCTGAAAGATCTCTATTTGGTTTTCTGTAGAGAAAACTGCCTTCCCCTGGATTTCAGGTGGAGGTTGTTCTAGTAGATATGTTGCCGAACGTGGACAATACGACCAAGAAATCAGATGAAAGCTCGGGCTCGAAATCTTCTGCAGTTGATGGGAGTGAAGTTTCTGATAACCAAAACAGAAAATCAGTAACTAATGAGAAAGATGATGTATTTTCTGACAGTGAATCAGAAGATGGTTCTGCAAAGAGCAAGGATGGAGCATCAGGTTCAGGGTCTGAAGCATCAGCTGTCAAGACGACATCTAAATCTCAAACGAGTGCGACTTCATCCGACGATGCTGCGAGTTTATCACATGCGACAAAGCAAGTTTCCCTGGGAGATGGTGGAGCTAAACAGGCTGCTCCAGCAGCCAGTGACCGAAAAGGCGATGGAGTCAAAAGATCTGATTCCCTCTCAGAAATTCCAAATTCAGAAAGTGAATTCAAGGCAATGGCTGCTGATGCTTCTGTTTTCACATTTGGGGACGACGAAGACTACGAGAGTGAGTAAACGAGGTGGTGTTGTTGTTGGGTATTGTTCGCCCTGAGCCACGGCCATCCTCTGTACATAAAGACCGTGCTGCAGGTGAAGCTTTAAGATTCATTCATTTGGGTTGTAAATTCGAAGTCTCTCAGTATCTGGTTTATTATTGAATTGATATAGCATGAAACTGGAAAGCATGTGAAAAAAACAAAAGTTATTTTCTTTTGAAGATGATACTGTTCTATGAAGTTCAATAAAGCTCAGTGCAGAAGACTGCTTGACCTTGTTTGTTTCAGTCTTTTTGGCTTGTAATTTGCTAAATCATCTCGTCTTATCTTGTAGTGTGCTTTTGGCCATGTGGATCTCAGACAAACAAAATAAAGATTAATTGTTTTAGCTATTTGTTCTTTGCTAGGCAATTTTTATGGGTGATGTTTTATAAGGTATGTATACTAACTAACTCTATGGCTATTTTGGATTTTTAAGAAAGAAATACTTGTAGTTATCGACTCGGATACGGCTATAATTATGCATGAGAAATGGGTTAGCTAAGCCTTGAATTATGATTTAATGACGGTTTATCTCAACGCATGTTTTAGGACTTTCGCTAGGTAAAATTTGACTTTGATTGATTTGAATGCTTTGTTAGGATTATGACATTTTAGGATTGACCACACTTTCGGTTTGCATGTATGATGTGTGGATATGTATGATTTATAATTTAATACCAATTTTACCTCTAGAAGGATGTTAGGAGGTTGGAATACCTATGTCTGCCCCGATTTATGTATGGACTAGATACTATGTTAGGAGGTTGGAATACCTATGTCTGACCCTAAACCGCACCTCGACCCGCGCCTCAACCCGAGAGTTAAGTTGTGACGTGCCTCACTCCTGCTGTGCCATGTGTCAACCTGCAGCAAAAATAAGCCCTCGGCTTCACGGCTCGGCTCGGGTTCTCAAATTTTAGCCCAATTTTCACTGTTACGGCCCTCCCAAACTTGTTTTTAACCCTAGTTAAGGTAACCGAGGTCGTTTTAATGCTGTATTTCACAAATTTCGAATGGAATTGTTATTAAATTGTGAAAAATTAACGAAATATGTCGAACGATCTAATAGGAAACGAACCCCAACGACATTTGGAGTAGCTTTCAAGGAATGATAACGTTTATTAAATTAGGGAGAATGCCGTCTATGGCCAACCATATAAGTGACCTTACTATAGGATAGGCTAGATACTTGTTTGTTGTATGATGTCACGTGCCTACGGACATGTGTTATGTACGGTTTATAATTATGACTTATGATGTATGAATTACGACGTGTGAGCTATATGATGATGTATGAGTTACGACGTATGAGCTATATGATGATGTATGATGATGTTTTATGGTGCTTATAATGTATTTGACGATGTATGATGACAATGCATGACGATGACGTGTTATGGTGATTTGGTGTATTTGTAGATGTATAATGATGATGTATGATAATTACGAAGCATGATGATCCCTTAGTATGACGTTGTTTCCATATTAAGTTAAGATGCATATTATGAATGCCATATTGCATTTTGTCGAGAAATCGACCTAGGGCACAACCCTATAAAAGATTAATGATGATGTTTAGACGGATAGTTAACGCGCATGTATTACTAATAGTAATACAAGATGAGACTAGGGTTATGTCATCAAGACGGTTCAAAGAAGAGAAATTAGAGGGACCTCATGCATTTTTGTATATAATTAAGCATTGGGACACTTGCCCTTTTATGATGATGAGTACAGACGCGTACGCTATGATGATGATAGTGATCATGTTGAGCATGACACTCAGGGGTTTGCTGACCTCTAGACATTGCTACAGATAGTTAGATCGATGATGATGGGCTCAAGTGGGGTGTGAACTGCCTGGAAATTCACACTTGCACATGTGGATCGTGTGTAGAGAAGTATTATACATCCAAGTTATTCTCAAATGGATGCCACCCCTAGAATGTTTTAATAATAGGTCCATAGAGCATTATTGAATGTATTTGCATTTTTACGACCCCTATAGTGGGTTCACTTAATAAGTATTCTTTGAAATACTCAGGTCGTGTGTTATATCATTTTTTAATGTAAAGGTAAGACACTCATGTACGGTTGACGGTGACATCACAAAGTAAAGACCCTGGCTTGCATAGGATAGAAGCATACTTAAATTCCTAGACTTAAGTTAGAATAGATTGTTTTACATTTCATATTTTTAAATTCTTTCGGTGCCGTTTTTAATTTCATTTTTGAATGATGTGTTAAACAACCTAATTCCATTTTTGAATTACGCATATGATCTTAGACTAAGATGACAGTAACAACTTTAGGCAGCTAAAATCTAGGGTTGTTATCGTTGGTATCAGAGCTCTAGATTATAGACCTTGTAGACTAGCCTACGATGTCGGCTTGAAATATCTTATGGTCCTAATGTCGATGCCCCGTCAGTGTCAGGTATGCCTTGCCTAAGATAAAATAAAGAAATGCTTTTAAAATCACATGCATTTTACTTTACGATATTACTTAACATGATGTAATAATCTTGTATATTCAATTCAAAATACGAGGTTGATTGTAGCAGGCTGATTAAAGTATTATAGCAATATCATGCATTTTATCCTTACATTTTTTTTCGAAATTTTAACTTTATCTATTAATTATTGTGAGCGAAATATATCATTTTTTAATAATTAATTAAAAACATAGCAATTTCTTACCAAAATAATAATAATAAATAAATAAATAAATAAATAAATAATAATAATAATAATAACATATTCGTCCCAATATTTTAGATAAATGATAATAAAATTTCAATTATCTTAATCATATATTAAAAAAAAATTACATAAATAAACTAAGATGACATTTAAATATAATTTAAGAAATAAATATAAGCATAAGAACTTTCTAATTGAGAAAGAGAGATGCAGAGGGGGAAAGGTCCCTCGAATGGCGGCTATATAGACACGAGAGGAGACTCAGGCAGGGCCGCAACTTCCTTCTTCGATGCCCAACGATTTCTTGGGTCTCTTCATCTCTGTTTCCTCCAAGAACCCAGCACGCGCCTCGAACTCCGTCTTCTATTTCTTATATTCAATGTAAAATCCTCTGTTTTCCTTTAATTACCGTCTTCTATATATCTCGATTATTTGTTGGTTTTGTGAAAAGGGAGCTTCTGGAATACGATTTGATTGTTCATTGTTTTGTAGGTTTCAAGAATCTTGTGAATATTCTATTCTGTTCTGTGAATTTGATTCGTTTTTTGGTTTTGTTTCGTGGGTCGAAGAAACAGAACAATTTAGGGCGAAGTCGACTTTAGAAAATCCCGCTCCATTATCTTTTGTTGATTCTTCTATGTCGATATATTCCATTCAGGGTCAAGCTCTTGAAGTCATCGGTATGTCTGTTTAGTTCTGTTTCTTAAAATTGTGTATGATTATTGATCAATCTTTCCCTCCAAAATGAAATATGAAGTTGATTTCGTTTGTTTATGTTATTTTGGGTCAGTTATTGGATGCACAAAGTTGAAAGATACGGAATGGATTTCAAGGCAGGATTCGTATGTGTGCCTTGAATATGGTAGCACCAATTTCCGCACGACCACTTGTACAGGTTATGTTTAGGATTTCCCTTGTTGGTTGTGTTTAATTTGGTTAGATCTAAGAAGATGAACATGAACTGAATGTGAATTTGATTGGCATTGTATGTATAGATGGTGGCAGAAATCCTATATTCCAAGAGAAATTTGTGTTCTCTCTAATTGAAGGGATTAGAGAGATTAATGTTACTGTTTGGAATAGCAATACAGTTACTTATGATGACTTCATTGGCAATGGAAAGTAAGATTTATGTTCTTTCTTCCTTTTTGTTTGAACTTGTGTTCGTGTTTTCCATTTGAGTGTTGAGTTTTGAATGTTCTGTTTTGTAGAATTCAACTGGCTAAGGTTCTAGCAGAAGGTTATGATGATAGCACATGGTCACTTCAAACAAAAACTGGCAGGTATGATATGGCTTTGAATTTGTTTGATATAATTTTCCCTGAAGCTTTTACTTGCTAGCGAATTACTGTTCTTTCAGGGATTTTCCATGTTTTCAAGGTTAGGATGTTAGTATAGCTATTGAGTTCGGTTTAGCCATCACCCCTTCTTGTGACCTGCCTTCCTATCTTACAGAGAAATTTCTCCCATATAAGCTAATATTTTCCTACGTGAGGGTGAATGTGTGACTCAATAAATGTGAGATCCCACATTGATTAGAGAGGGGAACGAGTTTCAGCGAGGACGTTGGGCCTTGAAGGAGGTGGGTTGTGAGATCCCACTTCGGTTGGAGAGGAGAACAAAACATTCTTTACAAGGGTGTAGAAACCTCTCCTTAGCAGACGCGTTTTAAAAACTTTGAGAGGAAGGTCGAAAGGGAAAGTTAATAGAGGACAATATATGTTAGTGGTGAGCTTAGGCTGTTACAAATGATATCAGAGCCAGACACTGGGCGATGTGCTAGCGAGGAGGCTAAGTCCCGAAGGGGTGGACACAAGGCGGTGTGCCAACAAGGATGCTGGGCTCCAAAGGGGGTGGATTGGGGGGTCCTATATCGTTTGGAGAAGGGAATGAGTAAGCGAGAACGTTGATCCTGAAAGGGATGGATTGTGAGATCCCACTTCGGTTGGAGAGGGGAGTAAAGGATTTTTTATAAGGGTGTGGAAACCTCTCCCTAGCAGGCATGTTTTAAAAACTTTGAGAGGAAGTTCGAAAGGGAAAACTCAAAGAGGACAATATCTACTAATGGTGGGGTTGTGCTGTTACAAATGGTATCAGAGCTAGACACTGGGTGATGTGTCAGCGAGGAGGCTGAGCTTTGAAGGGGGGTGGTGTGCCAACAGGACATTGGGCCCCAAAGGGGAGTGGATTGGGGATTCCCATGTCGATTGAAAAATGGAACGAGTGCCAGCAAAGACGTTGGGCCTCGAAGGGGGTGGATTAGGTTGGAGAGAGGAACAAAACATTCTTTATAAGGGTGTGGAAATCTCTCCTTAGCGTCTGTTTTAAAAACCGTGAGGGGAAGCTCGAAAAGGAAAGTTCAATAAAGACAATATCTGCTAGCGGTGAGCTTGGGCTTTTACAATAACCTTCATTTGACTATGAATCCGCGACGGTTTTGATTTCTTTTCATTTTGGTTCATTTAGAATGAAAATCGACTTTCTTTATCAACTTGAAGAGTTGGCCTACACAGCACAGTGCGGACTTCTTTTCGAGATTCACATTGCATTTCTTCTATGTTCTTGTCAAACGCAATTTGAACTAAAAGCGATCGTTGTTATTCATGATTTGTCTGGATCATTTGTTCGTTTTCGTTATTATTCTTTTTGATATCTCACCGAGCAGAACGAAAAACGTCATTTCCCATGAATCCATAATCAAAAACTTTAACATTCACTTTCACCTTATTGTAGACATGCTGGGGAAGTACGATTGATTCTTCATTTTGCAACTGCCGATGTAAGTGATATTTGTATTATGCCTTTAGTTACTGGTCAAAAACAATCCATTACTGATAGTATAAGATTCCCACCTATCTGTTTTGGTTGTAGAGACTACCAGCAAATTTTGCACCGTCGGCACCGCCCTTTCACGCGCCTCCGCCATCCCAACTTGCCATGTACGCCACAATGCCATCGGCACACCCTACAGCCTACCCTCATCCTCCTACACCCTATGCATTTTCATCTCCCTTTCCTTCTTACCCACCCAACAATGGAGCATATCAAACATCCATGTATTCCTCCCCGTTTCCATCGGGGTATCCTCCGTCGTCATACCCGCCGCCTTCCTCGGCTTATCCTCCCGCTCCATACCCACTGCATCCACAAGCCTCACCCTTCTATCCTCCAGGTACGTTTACGTCTAATTCAACATTTTAAAAGCTCTGTTAAATGGAATCATAATGCAACTAAAACTTGCTTCTGTGTGTGTGTGTGTGTTGTTGTCTCAGGCCCTTATCCTGGAGTTTATCCCCCACCACAGTATTGAAATCTCAAGGTTGGCTCTCAATGATCTTTCCATAAGTTGTATAGAAACTTCTGCTAATATATTTATATATATTTGTAGATTTTTTGACCCGTGGTTTTGGTCGTGAAATCGAATAATTTGGATACCACTTTTTCTTAGGAGATGAGAGTGTTAGATGAACACGACTCTCCACAATGGTATGATAGTCCACTTCGAGTATAAGCTTTCATTGCTTTGCTATGGACTTCCCCAAAAGGCTACTAATGAAGATTGTATTCATTGATTATAAACCTATGATCATTTCTTAAATTAGCCAAGGTGGAACTTTCATCCAACCGAGAGAATCTTGAGTATTTTGGATGATTTAGTTCTTGATGAAGTAGAGCAACATACCCCGATCATTCTTGATATCACTCGGCAACGAGGCCGTGATTCTTGTTGTTAACAACTTATACTCATGCACACATACTTCTTTCTCTATTGATTTCTTTTTAGTTCAAAAATGGAAGCTAACGATTGAACTATGAATCTTATAATAATTGATGTATTATTCATTGAATTAGTTCTCTTTTTTCTTTCTTTTTTTTTTTTTCGATGAGACCACGTATAGATATCTCAATTGAATTTTAATAAGTCAGTGTGGAATAGTATAAAATGAACTAATTATGGTCACTCATAATTCTCAATATAGACTGAATCGATAGTACCACATTTAACGAATACCCATGAACAATTATGTAACGACCCAGATCCACCGCTAGCAGATATTGTCCTCTTTAGACAATGGTATAAGAGCTAGACATTGGATAATGTGTCAGTCTTCTCACTGTTCCTCAAAGGGGTAGACACGAGGCGGTGTGCCAGTAAAGACACTGGCCCCAAAGAGGTGGATTTGAGGGCAGTCTCACATCGATTGGAAGAAGGAAAGAGTGCTAGCGTAGATCTGGGTCGTTACAAATTAAATGTGATATTAATACTTTTAACTCTTTAAATTATTTTTTATCGTTAATATGTAGACATAAATCATTTGTTATACTCCTCATAGGTCATTTCTCTCTTCGATTTTGTTTCTCGTCTACTTCAATCGATAGCTCAACAATTCCTCGTTTCTCATCTTTTTTTTCTCCCGGATAAAAGTTGGGAATAATTTTTATTAATTTAAGCGGTAATATAACAAACTTTTATTATTCCATGAACAAGCATATATGGTCTTACTTCTCAACGTTATTAAACTAATTTTATTATTATTTAATCTATTTATACCCTAAAAATACCCTAAAAATAAAATATGAGACATTATTTAGAGTACAGACACCTTACCATTATTTTTTTCCAAATAAATAAATAAATAAATCAGAATCTCTGAGTCTGTAATTAATTACAACATTCCAACACATAATTGACAACCTTATAATAATTGAAAATTAATTAAGCCCACCAATAATCTCTCTTCATATTCCTTTCCATTAGCTTCACTCCAATAACTTCAATTTAAACCACACTTTTTTGGGTCTCTTTTTATGCATATAAATAATATCATTCTTAATCTCATTTCTTAATTTGATATCAACCCGATCATTGACCCCAAATTGCCTTTTAATTTCTCTCTAACCGACACGTTTTAAAATTTTCACAACCAATCATACATAACCATGCTCAATTACTACTAGTTCTGATACCAATACGTCATGTTAAAGGAGAAAAAAGCTCGAGAATTGTAGTGTCATACGAGCATTTATTCAGTATGATAATAGCGTTTTGAACAAATTTAACCAATCGATCGACTAATTTCAATAAAAGAATAAAAGCATTAGAGTTTAAGATAAGAATTTCACTTTAAATAAAATCATTGTTTTTTAAGTTTAATGCAAAACGATACTTATATGTTTTTATTATGGGAGAAGCGTTTTTTTACCCTTTAAAAATTCAACCACAAACACTAAAAAGAATACATTTAACCATCAATAAATACAGTAAAAAACATGTCAAATGTAAATACAATAAATTATGAGATGGTGAAAGAAATATTTGAATGAATTAAAAAAAGAGTCCTTGAATGTCAAAGCAAGCTCAGAGCAGAGAACTTATCGCATATCTACGTACACATAAAAAAGATCTTCATATCTATCACCTTTTTCTTTGACCCTTTTTTAACCCTCCAATTATAGGAGATGGAACTACTCCAATCATTAACCCTAAACCCCAACTCTAACAATTAATCCTCGCTACATTTTAGAGTGAGCGACCTCGACCTCGAACCCATTCGATCTCTAAAATCTTATACATATAGTCATAATCATACATAACTTATATTTATATGGTGCGTTCGTGTAGATCGTATCATATGCTAGCAAGGAGATATCCTACTATATGTGTCACATACATGTAGGGTATGACATTAGTAGATCATATCATATATGCACCGATTGACCCCACCATATGTGTCATGAACATGTAGGACATGATCCTAATAGACTATATTTTATTCATATAGGGAGTGTTCCTATAATGTGGGTCATAACATGTAGGACACGACTCCATAGATCATATCGTATACATGCATGTCATAAACATGTAGAGCACGACCCCAATAGAACATATTGTTGAGGATTGCTGGGAGAGGAGTCTCACATCGAATAATAAGAGTTTGATCATGAGTTTATAAGTAAAGAATACACCTCCTCTGAGTTGAGTATGAGGCATTTTGGGAAACCAAAAACAAAGTAATGAGAGTTTGTAGTGACCCTGACATCTGTGTAGATAGTTCACTATTAAAAATTGAGTGACCCCTTGAAATATTTCCTCAAAGTAGATGACAAGTTTTAAATCTTAACGCAGGCAAGGCATATCTTGTTGAATCTGTTTTTTATCACATTGCGTATAACGGGAATCGAACCCTCTCTCTGAGCTGGCGAACGTATGGAGAATGTTTGAGATACTTCGATCCAGCAACTTTTTAGGAGTTGGTTTTGGCTTGCCTGTTTCTCTAATAATCAAGTACTTTATGTTAAAGATCCTTCCTTCAACTAGTGTGCATGAGTGCACTTCTGTTTTCTCCAAACTACGTTCATTCATCATAACGATTAGGTTCATTGACATGCTAGGACGGTTATAGTAATATTCATGTTAAGCTATAGCACATTTTTCCAAAGAAATTTGAGAAAAACTTCATACTAGAATCAGTCTAAATCGACTCAAAATTTGAGAAAAATATAGGTAATACGGTCAAATTAAACCAAACAAGTTGGATCAGACTAAACTGTTTCTTCCACACTTGGAAATGCTGATCGTACAACCAACCCCTACAATGTTAGTGGAGTATAAGATCTCATGACTTTACTTTTGGCTTCACCGAGATACTACCTCATATCAATAGAGATAGTATCATTTACTTATACACTCATAATATTTCTCTTAATTAGCCAATATAAGATTTCAAATACAACTTTTGGTCATCCTCTACATCTAGAAGCGAGGTCGGTCTAGACACTACTAATGTACCAACAACAGTAGATAATGATGAATTTGTGACACAGAACAGAACTGATAGAAACAACATACAGTTAAAAGACAGGAGATAACAACCACGAAATTTCATTTCCTTTAAATTTTTCTTAATTATCCCATCTTCAGGATTGCTCTCATTCGTACACAGTCTCGATTCATTTCATGTCCACCAACTTCTGACTTTATTCATCCCGAACCACATCTTATTTAAGAAATACTTTCTGATAGATACTCAAACCACGAATACTGGATTAATTTTTCTTATAATTATAGTCTTAAAATTTTTAAGAAATAAGTATTATTATGAACTTAATATCCATTTATATATTTGTCGGTATATTATTATTATACATATTTTTTGAACTACAGACCTTTATTAAACTTTTAACTTTAGAATTAAATTAAAATTTAAATATTTAAAACTAAAATAATTATTTCTTTAGTGTTTAAAATTTTAAATTAAGAGACCAAAATAATTATTTTAGAATTTTAAATAAAATTTAAGCTGACTTTTGAATCAAAATGATTATTTTCCCTTTCGAGAAATTCAAAAACGAAAAATAAAAAAATAAAATAAAATAAAATAAAAAGAAAGAAAAGAGAGCTGGGATTAGGGAAAGATAATTGAAAATGGTGCCACGTGTACGACTTTCGCTGTTAGAAAAGTCAGCCCGTTTCTCGTTTCCTACTTTCTCCACTCTCTCTTCCTGCGCGTGCATGTCACTCTCTTCCCTCCCCTCCATTATTTCAAATTCATTTTCAAATAAAAATAGGAACCACCACATGTGTGGGGCCCTTTCAGGAAAAATAAATCTAAAAAGAAATACTTTTTTAAAAATAATCCTAAATTTATGATTGGTTGGAAAAATGGAAAGTTTTCTTCCCAAACTTTCCCATCTTATTATTAATTATTTATTATTTAAGAATGTCTTAGGTATAAAAAATAAAAAATATTATTTAACTTAATTATATGTACCATAATACTAAAAATTTATTAAAAAAAATTATTTTAAATTTATGTTTTTCTTCATATGGGTCAAAATTAAAAAAAAAAAAAAAAACCTTCATACCTACGACGACATCAATTAGCCATGATAATTCCCTAAATTAGCCGATGTGGGACTTTTATCATCCAACATATACGACTTAGAAATAAATGATAGCATATCTACCCATATGATGATATTTATATGTATTATATAATACAAACTTAGATATATGTATATGTTCGAGCGTTCACACATGAATTTATATCTTTGACTTATTGACCAAGATAAATATCTTTACTCGTTAGACCTATGCTCAGGCTCGTACATACCTAGTCATTTTCCTATCAAATTTGTCTCTCGAATTTGTTTAATATTTTATTTGATATTATATTACCTTTATTTAAACCAAGTTACTTCAAGATCTAAGCAGAATCAAAACTTGTTTTTTAGAATAAAATTAAATTCAAATTATATAACAATGTTACCAATTTGTCAACCATATTATAAAATCTAATTTCATCCCTCGACATTGTCTTATGTCCAAGATCCAACTAAAATTTCATGTCGGTTAGGACCGAAAAGAGGTGGGCTCATAGTGTTAGACTTTTTAGCTAAAGTTTAAAAAAATAATTCATTCTTATATTTAGCTCAAAATTATCAACATGATATAACTAAAGAAAATATAA